TAGCATCTGTTGGCCATCACAATCTTTCTCCGAATTTCAAAACTGATGTCATTCGATTTATTTATGGCGGTACCAAGGTATATAAAATCTTTAACTACCTCGAAGCTGAAGTCCTCAAGTTCCACAGTTGGTCCAAGTCTACTGGACGTCTTGCGCGTTGATATCATCAGCTTTGTCTTCTCGCCGTTTACTGCCAGACCCACTTTGGCAGAGTCCTTCCCAATTTGTTCAAAGGTGGCTGTTACCGCTCGCAATGTTCGACCCATTATATCGATGTCATCGGCGTAGGCGAGTAACTGGTGTTGTTTGGTGAACAGAGTGCCATTTCTGTTCACCTTTGCATCTCCTGACCATATGACCTTTTCCAGCAGGATGTTGAAGAGATCACACGACAAACTGTCTCCTTGTCTGAATCCTCGTTCGGTATTGAAGGGTCCTTTCCGACATTAACTGCCGACCTTGGGCCACCTAAAGTTACCCTGCATAGCGGTATTAATTTTGAAGGAATGCCGAACATAGACATGACTTTAAACCTCTGAACGGACAGGGCTGTCGAAAGCGTCTTTACAGTCGACGAATGGGTGGAATGTGTCGATGTGTTTTTTCCAGGATTTGGCGCAGAGTGAAAATCTGGTCAATGGTGGATTTGTCAGGTCTGAAGCCGCATTGGTATAGTCCAATAAAGTCATTGACCATTGGCTTCGGTCGTTCACTCAGCACACTGAATAGCACTTTATATGCGATGAGAAGGAGACTTATTCCTCTATAGTTGACACATATCGACTTTTCTCCTTTTTTGTGCACGGGACACAAGATGCTGAGGTTCCAATCATTGGACACGCATTCCTCTAACCAAATTGTACTAATCAGCTGGTGCAGGCTCCTGACAAGCATCTGACCACAAGTCTTGAATAATTCGGCTGGCGACCCATCGGCTCCTGCTGCTTTATTGTTCTTAAGCCGATTAATTGCTTTTATGACTTCATCTTGGCTAGGTGGTATAGACTCTATACCGTCATCTCTTATTGGTTCTGGGGTATCCTCTTCACCGCTACTATTTGATACCAGAAGTTTTTCAAAATGCTCCTTCCAGATCCTCAGCACGCTGTATGTATCTGTCATCAGTTTTCCTTCTTCATCTCTACAGGAGGATGTGCCTGCACCAAAGCCTTCGGTTTGGTGTTTTACTTGTTGGTAAACATTTCGGACTTCATTCTGACTCCTGTACTTCTCGATTTGCTCGCCCTCACTTTTTTCTTGTTTTTTTCTTCTTTTTATCGGAAAATACGGTTCTTCTCTCTCCTTTTTCTCCCGATAATTCTACATCACATTACGTGTTGCTACTGTCGGCAGGAATGTCCTATACGCTGCGTTTTCACATCAGTAGCATTACGACACTCCTGATGGGTTTTTTTGATGGTGGTTTTTTGTGCCCAAGTGTTGTTTTTGCTGCAGTTTGTAGGGAGTGCTTTCGTCAAGCAGTTGGGAAAGTTGAGCAGTGTAGGTGTCTGCTACCTGTTGTGTTTGTACCTTTTCGATGTCGAATTTCCGTGTTACATTGGATCGCACCTTTGCTGCTACATTAAGTCGGGTGCGTACCTTGGCTGCTACAAGGTAGTGGTCCAAACCGATATTCGCTCCTCGTATCAATCGAATGTCTAAAACATTGGACGAATGCCTTCCGTCTATCACAACATGGTCAATTTGCTTTCTCGTTGCTTGATCAGGAGAAATCCAGATGTCCTTGGCCTATATCGAGATGCTTGAATCTGGCGCTGCTAACTAACATGTTTTTTGCTGCCGCGAACTCAATCAATCTCATGCCGTTGTCTGATTTTTCTTCATGGAAGCTGAATTTTCCGACGGTGGCACCAAAAATATTTTCCCTTCCGATTTTTGCATTAAAATCTCCCGTCAGAGTTTTAATTTAATTCTAATGGTCTGAATCGATATTCGCTCCTCGTATCGATCGAAGGTCTAAAACACTGACGAATACCTTCCGTCTATCACAACATGGTTAATTTGATTTCTCGTTGCTTGATCAGGAGAAATCCAAGTGGCCTTGTGTATATCGAGATGCTTGAATCTGGTGCTGCTAACTACCATGTTTTTTGCTGCCGCGAAGTCAATCAACCTCATGCTGTTGTCTGATGTTTCTTCATGGAGGCTTAATTTTCCGACGATGGGGCCAAAGATATTTTCCCTTCCGATTTTTGCATTAAAATCTCTTAGCAGTATATTAATGTCACGGCCAGGGCAGCGGTCATATGCAGCTTCTAGGCGTTCGTAAAAAATGTTTCATCTTTGTCTTCCGTCGGAGCATGGGCGCAAATAAGACTGCATATCACCAGGGCAGCGGTTACATGCAGCTTCTAGCCGCTCGTAAAAAATGTTTTTGTTCTTGTTATACCCTACAAAACTATGTTGTCAGGGTATTATAGCTTTGTGCAGCCCCAAAAGTTTGTGACGCCGCGAAATATTGGTCCTAGACCCACCTTTATGTATACCGATCGTCATATCTCGACTAGCTGAGTCTATCTAGACATGTGTGTCCGTCCATCTGTCTGTCCATTATAACTTGTAAACACGATACAGGCCACAGTTATGGACCAATCTTCACGAAATTTTGCATGTAGGATGAGTTCTGGTCAATGAAGACCCCTATTGTTTTTGGTAAAGGTCGGTTAATATTTAGGGGATGAAATGGACCAAATACTTAATTTTTGTCGGTTTTTCTGGTCGCTCCAGAGTCCGGTGTTATGGTCAGAATATGAAATTTTACATGGAGAAGGGGATCGGGCCAAAGAACAAGCATGCCTGTTTTGATAAAGATCGGTCAATATTTAGCGGGTCAAATGGACCCTGACTTTTGCGTGAAAAATTACAAAATTTTTATTCTGGGGCGTATATACTTGCTCCTGAAGGACATATACCCGAGAAGTTGGTGGTATATACAAGAGGAGTTGTTGACCTTCAAATTGATACCAATTATATGGCTGAATGTACTCTGATGTGGGAGTTATACGAAATCAGGTTAAGGTTACTATGTGCATAGTATTACTATTACTCCATAAGAGGACAGAAATGTCGCGTTGATCGCTTTGAAATTGTACATAAAGTTCCGATTATGGTCAAGGACGACGTCTATAGTTTTCGGTAAGGTTGAGATTTCATTCATTGAGGGGTGCAATGAACCGAAAACTTTAATTTTGTCAGATTTTCTAGTCGCTCTAGGGGCAATTATTATATACAGAAAATCACATATTTTACAAGGTGAAGGGGATCTAACTTAGAGCTGCTGTTTAGATGATGATCGGTCAATATTCCGAGGGTCAAATCAACCAAAACCTAAAGTGACAATTTTTTTATTTTATGGCGTAAAAATTCACTCAAAGAAAAATCATTTTGGAAAATATTCCAGGCTTAGAAAATGGAGTTGTTTATCTGATTTCGGTAAAAATATTGCCCATATTGCCAGAATATAGAACCGCAGAAAATTTTCTTTTCGTGGTAGTTGTGTAGGGTGTGATATGGTCGGCCCCGTCCGACTATACTGCTCCGCTCACTGGTTCATCTTTGTTTTCCGTCGGAGCAGGGGCACAAATAAGAGTGATATAGAAGAACTATGCTTTTATACGGATTATAGCAATTCGCTTATCTACTGGAGTGAACCTAGAGACGAGGTCTTTTATACTCCTATTAACCATAAGTCCGCAGCCAAATTCACGTTCCGTTTCATGTCAGCATTAATACAGGGCGTAATCATCTGATTTACTTACGCCAGTCCCTTTCCATCGCATTTCCTGTAAGGCAATAATATCGGCTTTGTACTTCTTGAGTAAATCCGCCAAGGCGAAAACTGCGTCTCTGTTCTGTACATCGTGCGCACATTCCAAGTGCAGATTGGATTGCAGGGCCAACTCATATTTGAGAATTTTTCTTTTGTGAACATTTTAGCAGGGGTGACGTAGGGGATGATAGATACCAAGCAATGGCTCTGATTGGCTTTAACATGGCGAAGTCCAGGCTTATCTTGGTCCCTCTTTCATCTCAATTGTGGACACTGGCCTCCCCGCGGGAGGTCTCCTCTCGGAAAACCCTACCTACTATGAAAAAGCAACGAAAAAGAAAACCAAACTCCCCCAATGTTGACGACCCCGCAAACGTATAAAGGACCACGATCTGCGGGGGTCGTCAACATTGGGGGAGTTTGGTTATCTTTTTCGTTGCTTTTTCATAGTAGGTTGGGTTTTCCGAGAGTGGGCAACTAACCAGACGCCTCACCCAATTTTTATAGTTCTTATGGGTGAACTCGCGGCACATATTAGCTCCCTATTTCAATAGATGATTACCCCTGGTGACACCGCGGGGAGGCCAGTGTCCACAATTGAAATGAAAGAGGGACCAAGATAAGCCTGGACTTCGCCATGTTAAAGCCAATCAGAGCCGTTGCTTGGTTTCTATCATCCCCTACGTCACCCTTCCTAAAATGTCCACAATAGAAAAAATTTCAAGCAGAATATAAATGAAAATTTAGATAAAAATAAAACTTTTCGGCAGGATTTTTTGTGCTAGATTTTCACACAAATTTCCAACAAAATAAAGAAAAACTTAGTACATATCGAACAAAAAATATATATTTTGTAAGAGTTATGAGTTGTCATGGCAACAACAACAACAACAAATAAAACTGTCAGTCATTGTTGCAAGGCTGACAAGTAACTCACACACTGTGGTATACCCTGAGGTAACTATGGGCAACTTAGAACAAAAAAAGTAGGAAATGGGACTTTAGTTTTAGTTTTCTGCTTCGATAAGACTCTCTATACTCAGAAACCATCAACAACAACAACAAATAAAATAAAATAATAGTTCTCAGAATTAAAAAAGTAGTTGAAACGTACACAAAAACAGCAAGAAGAAGCAGAAGTAGTCAAAATAAAAACAATTCTGCAATTTTCGTTTTATTTGGTGAGCTGCACTTGTCAGTCAGTCAGTCAATGGAGCCAGAGCCAGTTGTCGTCAATGAAGTCATTTGTAATGGACGTACAATAGTTTTGCCCAGCCTGGAAGTAGTTAAGACCAGTAAGTGTTACTCGAACAAGTTGGGAACAAAAACACTATCCTCCTCCTCCTCCTCATCCTCTGATACCTTCTTTCCGTACCCACTCTCGGTTACGATTTGCAAGTGCTGCAAAAATTGGTTTAATTGTCAAGATGTGTTTTCCACCCCTCCCCACTTTATTCCAGTACCCACCATGTCGGCCGGCACCAATGTCGATTGGCTCCTGCACATCTATTTTGCCCGACGAGATTTTGTACGCTGCAAGAGATTAATTGAACGTGAGCTATATCGCCACTTAAATCCCGAGTATTTGTATTTTGTTAAGGTAAGCTAGGTAGCCGCATAGCACCCTTGTAGTGGTGCTGGTGGTTGGTCATGCGGATCTAGTTCCACTTCTAACTAACTACTACCAATTGTTTTTTTCCCAAAAACAGGGTTTAATTGAACGTGACGAAGGCAACAACATAGAGGCGCTGCGGAATTTACAAAAGGCATTGGATTTGAATAATAAAAACATTGAAATTTACAAGGAAATTGGAAAGACACTGTGAGTATGGGAAGAGAGGCTAAAGGGTTTGAAAAAAAATATAAATTTGAAAAAAAATTAAAAAAAAGGGTTTGCTACTTGAAAAAAATTTAAAAAAATGCAATACTTGAAAAAAATATATTTTTTAAATCCAAGCCAAGGTCTGAGTTTTTTTAATATTCACGCCCAGAACTGCTACTTGAAAAAAATTTTTGTTTGCCCCTATTTTCAGTTTCACAATGGGCCGCTATAATCAATCGCTGGCCATATTTCGCGATGCCGAAGAGTTGTCCACCCGTTTGGATCATGAAATATTTCATTTTATTGGAGAACTGCTACTGCGCTCGGCTGCCTCCCGCAATGAATTGGAAATGGCTCAGCGAGAGGAACAAGAAGCCAAAGCCTACTTCCAGAAGGCTGTACAGACGGGCAAGAAAGTGGAGAGTTTTCAGCGACTAGCGGAAATTTTGCGTAAAGAAAAGCAATATCACAAGGCCATAGAGGTGCTGGAATCGTGTCTATTGTAAGTGGAATTTTTTCAACCGAACTTCTATAAAATCGAATATAAATTTTGAAAAAAGTATTTTAAAAAAAACTCCACGCCTTCTTTGGATGATTTGAAATTTTTTTTAAATCCAAGCCATCTGTGGATGGCTGAAAAAATAGTTTTAAACCAGTGAGCCGACCAGTATAATCGGACGGGCCGACCATACGATACCCTACACAACTACCACGGAACTCTAACTTTCTGCTGATGTTTATTCTGAGTCTGGGTAATATTTCGTGATATTTGCCCACTCTTGCCCAGGGGCAACCCTTCTAATTACTTGTCCCGATTCCCAACCCACTGTGAAGGTTGTGTTGTGATGTTCGGACTATATTCGACTATAAAACACACAATACAAGTGAAAAAGCGTTAAGTTCGGCCGGGCCGAACTTTGGATATCCTCCACCATAGATATACTGACAGGTACTAAAAAATGAAAATATAGGGAACACACCAAAAAAAAGTGGACCTATACCGACATTTCTAAAAACGGATTATGTAAACCATAATACAAATTTCAGAATTTTTTAATGGATAATTATACCCGCAGTCTTATGGCTAATGAGGGTGTACACATTTTAACACGGTGAAAATGTGCCTCATCGAAATATTGGTTGTAGACTCCATGTTTCTTCGGACCAAATCCATTTCAGAAAATTAAAATTTCATCCAAACTTTGTCATTCTTATTATTTCTTCCAAACTTTGTTCAACTTCGAAGATGGGGAATATCGGTCCACTGCTTCTGGAACCTGCACACAGGGGCTAGGCCTAAATTATCGAACCTTATGTTCTAATTTTTTATCCCGCTATCCTCCACAGGTGAAATGATTACAACAGAGTCTTAGAACCAAACTCAAAACGCGGAACAAATCAGATAACTATTTAAATATAAAAAAGGTGATTATATGGGGACTACCCCAAAAAGGGGGCGAATATTAATAATTTTTGGTAGAGAGATTTGTTACCCTATACGACTACAAAATACCAAATTGCAGCAAATTCGTTTGAAAAACGCACTCAAGAACCCCAAAATACCGAAAATTGGTGGATCCCTTATATGGGAGCTATCCGAAAAAATGGACCTATATACATCATTTTTTGTGGAGAGATTTGGTACCCATTAAGAACTCAAAATACTAAATTACAGCTAATTCGAGTGGAAAAATACGATCAAAACCCCCCAAAATACTGAAAATTAGGAGGTACTGTTATATGGGGGCTACCAGAAAAATTGGACATATATTTTTGTTTAGACATTTAGTACCCAATAGGAACCCAATGTAGCAAATTTCAGCGAATTCGGTTGAAAAACGCGCTCAAGAACCCCAAAATACCGAAAATTTGGGGGTACCCTTATATGGGAGCTATGGCTAAACGTGGACCGATAAAGCCCATCTTCCAACTTGGCCTGCCTGCAGACTCTATGCAAAATTTTGGTGATCTATCACAATTCGTTTAGACGCTAGAGTGGTTACAACAGACAGACGAACATGGCTATATCGTCATAGAATTTTACGCTAATCAAGAAAAGATATACCTTATAGGTTCGGAAATAATTATTTCGATGAGTTACAAACGGAAAACAAAATTAATATATCCTACATACTATGGTGGAGGGTATACAAATTAAGTTGTCGGACCATTTCATCCCAAAATTTTAATCAGATCATTACCGATTTTGTAGGCGTTGTCCTTGACCATAACTGGTATTTCATGGAAAAGTTATTAGTGCTATATTTTCGCCCTCTAATGTGGTAATAGGTTACAAAATAATATCTGATATAAATGGACGTTGGTGTATAATTTACATAAAATCGGACGAACATATATGTGGGAGCTATATCGAAATCTCGACCGATTTTCCCGAAATTCGCCACTCATCATTCTAGACTCAATTTAGTACGCTATTTACCTCATTCTAGACCTAATTCATTACGCTGTGCCAAATTTCGTACAAATCGAAGGATATATAGGGACTTTGGTACACCATTTACCTTAAATCGGACGAACATATATATGGGAGCTATATCCAAATCTGAACCGATTTCCAGGAAATTTGACACACATCATTTTAGACGTAATTCATTACGCTGTGCCAAATTTCGTGCAAATCGAAAGTTATATAGAGACTTTGGTGCGTCATTTACATTAAATCAGACGAAAATATATATATGGGAGCTATATCCAAATATGAACCGCTTTTCACGAAACTTAGCACACATTATTTAAGGCTTAATTCAGTACGCTGTGCCAAATTTCGTGCAAATCGAAGCATATAAAGGGACTTTGGTACACCATTTACCATAAATCGGACGAAAATATATATGGGAGCTATATCCAAATCTGAACCGATTTTCAGGAAACTTGACACACATCATTCTACACCGAATTCATTACGCTGTGCCAAATTTCGTACAAATCGAAAGATATATAGGTACTTTGGTACACCATTTACCTTAAATCGGACGAACATATATATGGGAGCTATATCCAAATCTGAACCGATTTCCAGGAAATTTGACACACATCATTTTAGACGTAATTCATTACGCTGTGCCAAATTTCGTGCGAATCGAAAGTTATATAGAGACTTTGGTGCGCCATTTACCTTAAATCAGACGAAAATATATATATGGGAGCTATATCCAAATCTGAACCGATTTTCACGAAACTTAGCACACATTATTTAAGGCTTAATTCAGTACGCTGTGCCAAATTTCGTGCAAATCGAAGCATATAAAGGGACTTTGGTACACCATTTACCATAAATCGGACGAAAATATATATGGGAGCTATATCCAAATCTGAACCGATTTTCAGGAAACTTGACACACATCATTCTACACCGAATTCATTACGCTGTGCCAAATTTCGTACAAATCGAAAGATATATAGGTACTTTGGTACACCATTTACCTTAAATCGGACGAACATATATATGGGAGCTATATCCAAATCTGAACCGATTTTCACGAAACCTGACACACATCATTCTAGACCTATTTCATTACGCTGTGCCAAATTTCATGCAAATCGAAAGATATATAGGGACATTGGTACACCATTTATCTTAAATCGGACGAAAATATATATGGGAGCTATATCTAAATCTGAACCGATTTTCACGAAACTTAACACACATCATTCTAGGCCTAATTCATTACGCTGTGCCAAATTTCGTGCAAATGGAAAGATATGTAGGGGCTTTGGTGGACCATTTACATTAAATCGGACGAAAATATATATTTTTAGCTATATCCAAATCTGAACCGATTTTCTGGAAACTTGACACACATAATTCTACACCGAATTCATTACGCTGTGCCAAATTTCGTACAAATCGAAAGATATATAAGGACTTTGGTACACCATTTAACTTAAATCGAACGAAAATATATATGGGAGCTATATCTAAATCTGAACCGATTTTCCCAATTTCAATAGGGTTTGTCCTTGTGAAAATTCGTTAATTGGTGCCTGCAAAATATATTTTAAAAATTATTATTTAAAGAAAAGAACTTCACACATGTAACAACATTCTGAAATAAGTTTACACACGTGTGCTTATGTTAATGACATCCCATTACACAGGAAATTCCGTCGAATAACAACAACTTGGAATAATTTTTAAAACCTCTCCTTTGTTAATTGATTTTCCTTCCAACAGATTATCACCTGAAAACACAGATGTTTTAACGGAAATTGGAGTTCTATATTTAAAGCTGAATGAAACGCAAAAGGCATTCGACCGTTTGCTGGAAGTCATACAATTCGATAAAAATTGCCTGAGAGGACTGATGGCATTTGGTGCCATACTGCAGGTAAAAACGAAAACAAAACACTTTACCGGTTGGAAGAAAAATAATTATTTACAATATAATAACAAATATTTTTGATTTCCTTCTTCAGTCCCGCAATGACATCGATGCTGCGCTGGGGAAATACAAAGAAATTGCTGCCATTCAACCGGATATTGCCGAGCTGTGGAATAATATTGGATTATGTTTTTTCAAGAAACAAAAGTTAATTGTGGTAATTATGAATGCGAATATAGACAATTCGAAAAATTCCGAAAATCTACAAATGACAGACAGATAGCCCACAAGGAATTTCTATGAAAAAGTGTCCACCACTTGGCCATATTAATTTTTCCAAATGTTTTAATGTTTTCATGGAATAACTCACATACATATGTGTGTGTGTGGGTATTTGAATGAAAATGTTATTTGCAGGAACAATGTTTTTAATTATACTTAACGGGCAATCCATTCATCTGTCATTTGTAGAATCCGCTATATGCATCCTCATACATATACATTAACATTTTATATTAAGTATGTATGTTTTTGCTTCTAGGGAATCTCTTCATTACGAAAAGCAATATGGTTATCTCCATTGAATTACAATGCCCTCTACAACTTGAGTTTGATTTATATAACAGGTAAGTTTTATTTAGAGATTAAAAAAAAAAGAAAAAAATTGAAGGAAACTTAAGACCTTCTATATAGAAATATTTTTAAAAAATCCACGTCTTGGATAGGCCTTGAAAAAAATATTCTTTAAAAAATCCACGCCTTGTATAGGCCTTGAAAAAAATATTCTTTAAAAAATCCACGCCTTGAATAGGCTTCCCACAAATATTCTTTAAAATTCCAGGCCTCCAAAAAATATTCTCCTTAGATAGGCCTTGAAAAAAATATTCTTTAAAAAATGCCAACCTTGTATGGACTTTGAAAAAAATATTCTTTAAAAAATCCACGCCTTGGATAGGCCTTGAAAAAATATCCTTTAAAAAGTCGACGCCTTGTATAGGCCTTGAAAAAAATATTCTTTAAAAAATCCACGTCTTGGATAGGCCTTGAAAAAAATATTCTTTAAAAAATCCACGTCTTGGATAGGCCTTGAAAAAATATTCTTTAAAAAGCCACGCCTTGTATAGGCTTAGAAAAAAATATTCTTTAAAAAATCCACGCCTTGGATAGGCCTTGAAAAAAACTATTCTTTAAAAAATCCACGTATTGGATAGGCCTTGAAAAAAATGTTCTTTAAAAAATCCACGTCTTGGATAGGCCTTGAAAAAATATTCTTTTAAAAATCCACGCCTTGCATAGGCCTTGAAAAAATATTCTTTTAAAAATCCACGCCTTGCATAGGCCTTGAAAAAATATTCTTTAAAAAATCCACGCCTTGTATAGGCCTCCAAAAAATATTCTTTAAAAAATCCACGCCTTGGATAGGCCTTGAAAAAATATTCTTTAAAAAGTCCACGCCTTGTATAGGCTTTTCACAAATATTCTATAAAAATCCAGGCCTTTTATAGGCCTCCAAAAAATATTCTTTAAAATATCCACGCCTTTGGTAGACCTGGAAAAAATTGTCTTTAAATATACAAGCGTCAAATGGACCATAAAAAATTTACATAAAATCCTCTCTCCTCTTGGCCAAATTTATTCCAATTTTTATTAACCAATTTATCAAATTAAAACACCTTCACATACCCATTATATTGGTTCCACCTGGGTCTCGACAATGAACGAACCCTCGGCTTCATTTGAATAATCCATAATCATACGATAAAAACCATATTTCAAATAGCTGGGGAAATTATCCGTGTTCGTAGTACAATTTTGCAGGGTAACCCGCCTAGGAGTCAGCGGTGGTACGAATGTCCCATTAAAATACGGAGCATTTTCTGAGCAGGCGTACACACTTTCCATCAGATACTTTTTATAATAGTTGTTGATATTGTATGACAGATTGAATTTGGGCACCCGAAGTGGTGTTCGTATAAAATCTTTGCCATTCGAACTGTACATAACTGTGAATTCAATTTCAGTAGCATCGGTTAGGTTCTTTTTAATATCGATCGTACCATAGGACCTGTAGACACCGCGTGATACTAATTTCTTTCCGATATTTACCTCAATGATGTCGGGTGTTCGATTGATGACTTCTACATTTATCAATTGATATGTCCAGTTTTTCTATAAAACAAGAACAACAAAATAAATATGGTTAAATACATATGTGGGGCTCCAACTTACCATTTGGGTATCGGCATTTGATATTATTAGGATCAGAACTAAAAAGAATGCGGACTTCGGCATTGTTATACGTTATTGTTCCCGATATTCGATTGATTTGATTTTTCGAAAACAAACACCTTCCCTTATATAGAAGGGTATATCCGATTGTAGATCTAGGCGATTAGCGTGGAACTCATGTCACTCATGTTCGACAATCGTTGTATTTTCACACGCCACAACAAGTTGTCAACGATTTTTATCGTATACAGAAACAACAACAACTTGTTATACTGTACAAAAATGTTGTACAGTTATGATGGACCTCGAAAAAATATTCTTTAAAAAATCCACGCCTTGTATAGGCCTTGAAAAAAATATTCTTTAAAAAATCCACGCCTTGCATAGGCCTTGAAAAAATATTCTTTAAAAAATCCACGCCTTGTATAGGCCTTGAAAAAATATTCTTTAAAAAATCCACGCCTTGTATAGGCCTTGAAAAAATATTCTTTTAAAAATCCACGCCTTGGATAGGCCTTGAAAAAATATTCTTTTAAAAATCCACGCCTTGGATAGGCCTTGAAAAAATATTCTTTTAAAAAATCCACGTCTCAGTAAGGCTTGCAAAAAAAAAAATTCTTTAAAAAAATCCACGCCTTTGGTAGGCCTTGAAAAAATATTCTTTTAAAAATCCACGCCTTTGGTAGGCCTTGAAAAAATATTCTTTTAAAAATCCACGCCTTGCATAGGCCTTGAAAAAATATTCTTTTAAAAATCCACGCCTTGCATAGGCCTTGAAAAAATATTCTTTTAAAAATCCACGCCTTGCATAGGCCTTGAAAAAATATTCTTTTAAAAATCCACGCCTTTGGTAGGCCTTGAAAAAATATTCTTTTAAAAATCCACGCCTTTGGTAGGCCTTGAAAAAATATTCTTTTAAAAATCCACGCCTTTGGTAGGCCTTGAAAAAATATTCTTTTAAAAATCCACGCCTTTGGTAGGCCTTGAAAAAATATTCTTTAAAAAATCCACGCCTTTGGTAGGTCTTGAAAAAATATTCTTTTAAAAATCCACGCCTTAGGTAGGCCTTGAAAAAATATTCTTTTAAAAATCCACGCCTTTGGTAGGCCTTGAAAAAATATTCTTTTAAAAATCCACGCCTTTGGTAGGCATTGAAAAAAATATTCTTTTAAAAATCCACGCCATTGGTAGGCCTTGAAAAAATTTTCATTTAAAAATCCACGCCTTTGGTCGGCCTTGAAAAAATATTCTTTAAAAAATCCACGCCTTTGATAGGCCTTGAAAAATAGTCTTAAAAAAATCCACGCCTTTGGTAGGCCTTGAAAAAATATTCTTTAAAAAATCCACACCTTTGGTAGACCTTGAAAAAATATTCTTTAAAAAATCCACGCCTTTGGTAGGCCTTGAAAAAAATATTCCTTAAAAAATCAAGGCCTTTGGTAGGCCTTGAAAAAATATTCTTTAAAAAATCCACGCCTTTGGTAGGCCTTGAAAAAATATTCTTTAACAAATCCACGCCTTATAATAGCCTAGAAAAAATATACTTAAAAAACTCTCTCTACTTTCGGCCAATTTTATTCCAATTTTTATTTAACAATTTATCGAATTACAACATTTAGATAAATACACCTTCGCATTCCCATTATATTGGCTCCACCAGGGCCTCGACAATAAACGAACCCTCGCCTTCATTTGCATAACTCATAATTACGCGATAATAACCGTATTTCAAATAGCTGGGGAAGTTATCCGTATTCGTAACACAATTTTCCAAAGTAACCCGTCTAGCCGTCAGCGGTGGTACGAAGGTGTCATTGAAAAACGGAGCATTCTCTGCGCAGGCGTGCACGCTCTCCATCAGAAATTTCCTGTAATAGTTGTTGGCATAGAACGACAAATTGCTCTTGGGCACCCGGAATGGTGTTCGCATGAAATCTTTGCCATTCGAACTGTACATAACTTGGATTTCAACTTCCGTAGCATCGGTGAGGTTCTTTTTAATATCGATCGTTCCATAGGACCTGTAGACACCGCGTGATACTAATTTTTTTCCGACATGTATCTCGACGATGTCGGGTGTTCGATCGATGGCTTCTATATTTATCAATTGATATGTCCAGTTTTTCTATAAAAAAAATACAACAAAATAAAAATGTTTAAATTCATTTTAAGAGGTCCAACTTACTTCTTGGGAATCGGCATTTGATATTATTAGGATCAGAATTAAAAAGAATGCGAACTTCGACATTGTTATATGCGTTTGATTTGATTTTTCAAACCACGACTTCCTTTATATAGAAGTGTATATCCGATAGTAGATCTAAGCGGTTCTGGTGTAGCTTATGCCACTCATGTTCGACAAGTTTTGTATTTTCACACGCCACAAACAAGTTGTCAATGATTTGTATCTTGTAAAGAAACAACAGTTTTTTTGTACTGTACAAATGGTGTGCTGTACAGTGGTTACTTGAAAAAATATTCTTTAAAAAATCCACGCCTTGAGAAAGCCTTGAAAAAATATTCTTTAAAAAATCCAGGCCATGAGTAGGCCTCCAAAAAATTTTTCTTTAAAAAATCCACGCCTTGAGAAAGCCTTGAAAAATTTTTCTTTAAAAAATCCACGCCTTGGTAGGCCTTGAAAAAATGTTCTTTAAAATATCCACGCCTTGAGAAAGCCTTAAAAAAGTATATATTCTCTAAAAAAAAATTCCGATTTTTTAAGGTCCTTTAAAAATATTTCTAGTGACTCACTTCCTTTAAATTAAAGCACAAAAATTCTGCTTCCTGATTCATAACTAAAATAAATGATAGCTCTGCTTCTGTTTCCTGACATATTGTTCGGACAGATTATCTATGTTCGGAGTAAATAAAACGAAACTATTTCAATATATCTCAGGACAAAAGCCAGCAACGAATCGAAAGTCATTTGTCAATGATAATACCCATGATGTGGCAAAAGTAGCAGAGTAGCATGGGTAAACAGAGACGTGGTGAACATGGTGAACAAGGGGGAATGTTCGTATATCTCCACTGAGGTGGAAACATCCGTTCCCTCCAATATTCTTGAAGAAATGTTGCCTTGTTAACTCTGGACCCTAGTATGACCCTAGGTCCATAGTTGGTATTTTCTTCAAACACTCTAATCTTTTTTTTTCAAAATTCTATTTTTTCCACAACTCACTCGGAATTTTGTTTTGATTTAAAAACAGTTCTGTTTACCACGTTGCGAGCTATTATTTTTTTCCCCATTTTTGGTTTATTTGTATTCCATGTATGTATGTCATAAGGTCAATGTTGATTTTCCAACAATAACAAATATGTTGTCTGTCCGCCATGATTGTAACTCACGACACACACACACACTTACATGCCAGGATAGCATAGCCATAGCTTGGCT